TTATTAGGAAAACCTACAGTTTTCAATTAAGAGTTTTAGGGGCACTTATATGAGCTTCATTCCCCTTTGTTTTATTTTAACCCATCGATCTTGGTGAAGAAGGGGTTAAATTAAGTGGAATCATAGTGATGAGCCATACTTAAAGCTCTACTTAGAAAAAAAATAAATGTAGATTTTTTTGTTACCTTTATAGGTCTATAAATTTGTTTTGGATCCTATATAGAGATGTAAAATATTTTATTAACTCAGAAAACATTTGCCTTTCTGAAATACTGCGTTAGTCTTGTCTTCTTGAAAAGTTGCCCTTGTCAAATTATAACCCACATTTGTTTCATTTGCCATTGGCCCTTATCTACCCTCCCACTTTATCTCCTGTGTCCTTCCAGTCAGACCCTGCAGTCTGCAATACCAGGCTGTGTGATTCACCTCATCCCCAACCTGCTTCACGCTGGTCCACACCTGGCTTCATGCCTCTGCCTGACTTTCCCAAGATTGCCAGCTGAGGAATTGTTTTGAGCGCTGCTCTTTTAGGACCTCCCAGACTCATCAACTTCTTACCCAGCACTCTGATGCCTTCTCTGCTGTCGTCTACCATCCTCATCTCTCTATATTGGGTTGTCTGTAACCTTCGTGGGCCTCTTCTTATCAACTGTGAGTACCTTAAGGATGGATTGGTTTCACCTTTGCTTGTCACTCAGCATCCACTAAATGACTGCCTAATTATTCCCCCAAAGGTTGCTATGCTATTTATTTGTTCTGTTTGAAAATAGAACCAAACTTAAAATGTAGATAGCGGACATGAATTATTTGCCCATAATTCTGCAATAACCTACCTTAATATTTATTCTTGCCTTTTCAGTCTTTTCCTTTGCAATTTTCCTTAGTTGTAAACCTAGCATATCTCTTATGTATCATGATTTAAAAATTATAGTGTAAATATTTCTTTGCTGCTGCCTGGCCTTCATAGTCCTCATCTTTAGCAGTTTTTTTAAAATGTCACCAAGTGGATAGTTTATGCATTTGTTTGCCTTTAAAACTTTAGTGTTTTTATCCTAGTTGTTAAGATGTATGACTATGATAATGATAGATGGGATATATTTACAAATTAAGAATGCCAGAATGTGGAGGAAAGTGCCAAGTATTGAGTTCAGAAGGTCTTGGTGCCAATTAAGCTGTGTCCTTTGTGTGGCTTTGGATCTTCTTCATCTGTACTGATAAATGTGGCATATGATTCTTGTAATGAAATCTAATAAGGGGAAATGAAGGAGGTTTGTGGGATTCTTAATATGTGCTGGGCACTCAAATATTGTTATGCTATTTCATTGAATCCTTGGGGCAGCTTTAGAAGATTGACTGGAAAAGGTTTTCAACTTATTTCAGGTCACACAATAAGTGCTAAGATCCAAACCCAGTTCTTCTGTACTCCATAGTCCTTTATCCTTAGGCTTCCTAGAGAGATGTTGTCCCCACTGGTGAAGGTATACTCTGAAATAAAAGCAGAAGGAGCAATTCTAGGATCTTCATACCAAAGAATATTCAGAGAAGAAAATCATTTATGAAAAAAGGAGCATGTTGAGATATTCACAGTATTTTTTTTTATAATTGACCAATATTTTATAAAACTTCTAAAAGCAACAACAACAACAAACTTCTTAAATCTCTTATAAAGAACAGTGAGTCCATTTGTCAAAACCTGACTTCCATGTATGTTCTTGGCACAAAGAATGAGCACAGTAGGAAATAGTCAGGATCCTCTGTGAGGATGGATGGAGAGGAACATCACTGAAAGTGAATGTTGGTGAAGCGTGAGGCTTGATTCCATCCCAGAGCTACAGTGTTTCTGTGGAGATGTAGAGTTACAGGCAGAAAAGAGGCAGTATGGGTCTTCTTGCAGGGTGAGGATGAACTGGAATGAGAGATACCTAAGGGCAGAGAGAATAGCCAGGAGATGTTTATAATCTTTTAGATAAATAGAAAAGGAAGTGATCACATTGCAGAAGTAGAAGTAACAAGATTTATTGGCCTCTTTTTTTTTTTTTCCTAAACTACAAATCCGATCATATCAGTATTGTTAAGAGCTTTTGTTTTGGTGTCAATCTTCCTGGGTTTGAAACCCTAGCTATGTGACCTTGGACAAAGTCCCTTGACTTTCTTAAGCTTCATTTTATTTCTGTATTTCTGTAAGATGGGGAGAATAATAGTAGTATTCATGGCATAAATTTGTTGTGAGAATTAAATGGAATATTGTGCTTCAGTGGCTTAACATGGAGTAAATGCAACAGTTCAGTTCAGTGTATGTTTATTATCATTTCATGTTCTGCTTATTCATCTTCCATTGATATTCACTACCTCCTTGCCCCAAACCCTTGCAGTTCTCTATGATCTGGCTCCATTCCACTCCATAATCTCTTCACCAAAGGTCCAAAGGTCTTCAAGGTCTTGGAAGATAAAAATCAGACTATGGTAAGCTGAGGACTACATGCTCCATCTAAAGTGGGCATATGACTCTCATATTTGCATTGGAAGATGACCTTGGTATAGTGAGTTCATCACCTTTGAAGAGGTGTCAGAAACCCAAACTTCGTGTGAAACCCCCCAATTATTAAGTTGGAATTGTTAAACAACACTCTACTACTGAGCCACAACCCCAGCCCTAAAGTGTGTATTCTTTATAAAAGCCACTTTGAGAACACAAAACAAGGTGTCTGATCCAAATCTGTGATGTCACAGAAAGTTTGCAAGAGTCAGAGATGCTTAATCTAAGAACCAAAGGGAGAGCTGGAGGATTCTCAGAAATTTAAATGAAATTAGAATCGTTAAATAACACTATAAGACCAAACAAAGTCAATCTGCAGGCTGGTTAGGGTTAGTAGCACCTGGAAACTCTCTGCTTCATGCCTTTTCCCACTCTTGCAGACTGCTCTTTTTCCCTAGATAGACTTGATTCCCCTGTGCCTAATGCTTTCAGACACCCTGGCCACTGTGTCTGGACTGGCCTTGGATCTTTCTCTAACTGTTCTTTTAGATGTAGCTCAATCTTATATTTGCTGAACTCATTATTTCCTTCATTGTCATATCAGAACATCTTGTGGCCATTTTTATTCTGTTAATACATTTATTCACTTATTTATTCAGTAAATAATTATTAAGCACCAAAACATAGACCAACTACAACCATAAACCAGAGCCCCTGTTCTACTGGAACGTCAATTTCGGAGTGAATGATCATGTGTCAATCCTCCCATGAGAAGGTGAGAGCCTTTAGGGCAGGGATTGGGTGCTGTTTGTCTGGTTTCCTTAGCAATTAGTCCAATGGGCTTGATACCAAGTGCCTTAGTGTTCTAGTGATTCTGTAACAAGTTGTCACAAACTTCATGCCTTAAAACAACACGTGTTTAACCATCTTTCAATTCTAGAGGCCAGTAGTCTCAAATGGGTCTCACTAGATTAAAATAAAAGTGTCAGTTGTGTTGCTTCTAGAGAGTCTGGAGAAAATCAATTTCCTTGTGTGGTTTTTTTTTGAGGCTTACAAATTGTATCTCCATCTTCCAAGCAAGTCATAGAATCTTCAAATCTGACTCTGACTGTGACCTATTTTCCTTTCTCTTCTACTTACAAGGACCTTTGTGATTACATTGAGCCCACCTGAATGATCCAGGGCACTCTCTTCAGCTCAGGATTAGTTGATTAGCAACCCTAATTCCATTTGCCGCCTTAGTTACCCCTTGCTACACGTACAGATTCTGGTTTAGAACACAGACATCTTTGCAGGCACAAGGGGTGCAGGGTGTATTACTCTTGCCTGACATACTGGCAAGCAGAATGAGCGAATGGCTGATGAATGCTTGCAAACACACAGAGGGTAGCAACCAGTGTTGTGCTAGCCACAGAAAGGGAGAAAAAGGAGAAAATGTCTCTGTCTTCAAGAAGTTGTCAGTGGAATTAATTGGTGAGGAAGGTTACTGAGAATCCTCCAGCTCTCCCTTTGGTTCTTAGATTAAGCATCTCTGATTCTTGCAAACTTTCTCTGATATCACAGATTTGGATCAGACACTTTGTTTTGTGTTCTCCAAGTGCCTTTATAAAGAATACTCACTTTAGGGCTGGGGTTGTGGCTCAGTAGTAGAGCACTTGCATAGCACGTGTGAGGCCCTGGGTTTGATCCTCAGCACCACATAAAAATAAATAAATAAAATAAAGGTATTGTATTCTCCAACTACAACTAAAAAATAAATATTTAATAAAAAAGAATGCACAATTTATTGCTTGTGTGATGCTAGTTTAGTAAGTTCCCATCTATTAGATTTTACAGGTAAAGAGAAAACAGATATGGTTTATTTCTCAATTTGTGGTATTGGGCAGAGGATCTGGCATATGGTAAGAATTCAAATAGTTGTTAAAAAAAAAAGAATGAAAAAATAAATAAGCAAAGATTAGATGAAAATGAAATGTTTAAACCACCTAGGACTTGTTCTGCATTGGGGCTTTGTAACCTGAAACCGTGGGCTTTCCTGTCAAGCACACAAAATCAGAGGGCAAGCACATGTGCCCCTCTTCCCTTCCTGTAGGAAGCAAAGAGTATTCATCAGATTTTCAAAGGAGTCTACCCCCCAAGAAGAGGTTAGGAAGCACTGCTGTAAGTGTGTGGAGTTGAGATGAAATCCTTTGGCCAAGGCAGAGTAGGAAGATGCCAGACTGATTTTTCTCCAGTGCTAACTGGGCTTTTGTATCTCATCTCTACGTTCTGCAGGAGAAGAGAGTGTGCTGCCTTTGCTGACCCAGGACTCTAATTCCAAAGCTCGGAGGGGCATTTTAAGAAGAGCTGTATTTTCCGAAGACCAGAGAAAGGCTCTGGAGAAAATGTTTCAGAAGCAAAAATACATCAGCAAAACAGATCGAAAGAAACTTGCCATCAACTTGGGACTAAAGGAGTCACAGGTACTAATGATCAGGAAGATGTCTCCTGCTTTTCCTTTCTGAAGACATACAATGAAATCCATTTATTTGGTAAATATCTCTTGTGCTAGGCGCAGGGCAGAACCCTGAAGTGTTCTCAAAATGCTTTTCATAATTTGTTAGTGGGTAGAAATAGATGATTTCTGTTTGGAAATAGAACCATTGCTGAGAGGTTTAGGTCTTGCCATTGGACTGATTGATTCTTCCAAAATGAAGTGAAATGCTAAGGATGTGGTATTTATAGCATATTTTTTTTTGCTTTATATTCAGAGAAGCAGGCTAAATAATTTCTTTCAAAAGCAGGAACCAATTTTCTTGTCTTTCTCTTCATTTTAAATCCAAAATCAAAGCATGAATAAGTGACTTATGAATACTCATTAATGGGTCTCATTATTTTGCACTTTGGGTTTATGTCATGTATAGTTTAGTCATTCACATTTGCAACTCTTACACACCTTTCTTGCACTTCATGTAATTGTGAATGAGACTTTCTGCCTTTTTGACAGTGAAGATTAGTCTAAAGTTTGACCCATTTACAAATAGTTAACACATAAGACTGTAGCATTTTCCTATTTAATCCTTTTTCTCATCACAATGCACTGTAATAAGCCTCTTTTCTAGATGAATAAATGTGCAGAACTGAATATAGGTCCTGTGTCATGTAGCAAAGCTGTTTGGGAGTTGGGGCTTCTATCTTAGGCATCCTGACTTTGGATTTATGTTTTCCTCAAACTAGAACCCTTGTATACAGTTATGCAGGGTGTTCACTGTTCAGAGGCATTTGGCTAGCGGGAGGATGGCAGCGGGAAAAAGTTTCCTGGTCAGGCCTACATCCACCTTCATTTTGCCAGTTAGTGTAAAGAAACTGAAGGGCTAGCGGAGGCTCTGTCTTAATCATGCTATTCTCCTCTTCCTCACTATAGATGACCTATGCTACATTTTGGACCTTACTAAAACCAGTTATTATTGTATGGCACTCTCTTCAACATTGCTTTCTTTCTCTAGGGATGTGCTTGGTTTCCATAGACTGCCTTTCATGTCCAAATTTTGGGAGTGGTAGGATGCAGCACATGGTGTGGTACAGGGTAATTGACCTAGATCCATCAGTCTGTGCCCTTCTTGAACTGTGATACTAATGAGTCCACAACCTCAATTGATTGCCCTGTGCCTTGGTTTCTCACTTAAAAGAAGAGCAATTAAGGAATTCTGTCTAGGTCTCAGAGCAATTTTGTGTATGTAACAGATAAATTAGTAGCTGCATCTTGATGGTTGGTCTCTTGTGTGCAAGATACTATGTGAGATAGGCAGGAAGAGGAAATATGGTGAGCACTGAGAAAGACATACTTTTTTTTTTGTACCCCAGAAACTTGTATACCTGGTAGAAGCTCATGAAAAGTTAGATAACAACACAAGACCATATGATAATTAAAGGGGACATAGCTGTTGAAAGATGGAAAAGTAGCAAGGTTCCATCTTACAGTACTCTAAGAAAGTGTGAAAATCTGTTAGTGTGTGTATTGTGTTCCTATAAACAGAATCTTATGCATATATTTTGTCTTTTCCTAAAGAACAGTTTAGATCACCTGAGTAACACAGTGCACAGATCAAACAGTAGATACGGGAAGACCCCAAAGATTTCCTCCCAGTCATCATCTACTTCTTCCAGGGACATCTACTATTCCCATTTCTAACAACCCAGATTAAGTTAGCCTGTTTTTGTACTATAACTTAAGCACTCAGTATGTATTCTTTTGTATGTGGCTTCTTTCACTTAATATTATGATGATGAGATTCTTCATGTTGTTGCATGTAGTAGCAGGTCATTCTACTCATGCTGGGTTTGTATTATCACTACATGGTATAAAATGATTAATTCATTTTACCAAAGGGAGCATATGTATTGTTCCCAGTTTTGACTATTGTTAGTAACACTACTGAGGATTGTACTGTTTTACTTTTTATTTCCCTGCATTCAAATGTTACAGGATGCATCCTTGCATGGTGGTACCTATCAATCAATTCATTTTTTGATGTGTGTCTCATTACAGATCATAGTGTAGATATAGAATAATTCAATTAACTACCATCAACTTTTAAGTTACTTCTAGTTTTCACTATTCCATCTATTTATGCACTTTTAAAATATTATTGCAAATTAGGGAATTAGGAGTGGGATTATTTGTTAAGGTATATGTATATTTTTAAAGTGTGACAGATTAAAAATTTCTTTCTAAAACAATATTATATAAAATTAGATGGTGAATTATGTAAAAATTTCACTCTTATTAACAAAAATGATTTTTTGCAAACCCTTTACCATTTATCATTTTAAATAATATCAGCAATATTATGGACAATGGTATTTATTATTTTTTAGTTTGAATTTTTCTAACTTCTAGAATTTGAGGTCTTTTCATCACTGGCCTTTCCATACTGCATTTTTTCTATCATATTGTGTCTCGTTGATGTATAGCAATTATTTTGGATATTAATAAACATATTTGGAATATTACAGTTACTTACATTTTCCTGTTATAGATGCTATAAAAATCCCTGAGTTAGTGATTTTTTTATTGTGGTAAAATAAATATAAGATTTATCACTTAGTGGCATTCAGTAACTGACATTATTGTGCAACCATCAGCATCCTCCATCTCTAGAACTTTTAGTTCTTATGAAACTGAAACTGTGTCCAAAAACAACTCCTCCTTTCTCCCTCCTCAGCCCCTGGCAACAATCTTTATATTCTTTTTTTCTATGAATGTCTACTCTTAAGAATCTCATATAAATGGAACCATATAGTGCTTAGCTATATGATTTGTGATTAGCTCATTTCACTTAACACAATGTCTTCAAGGTTCATATGTGTTGTAGCATGTGTCAGAATATTCATAATTTTAAGACTGAATAATATTCCATCTTATGGACATACCACATTTTTATTTAACCATTCATCTGTCAATGAAAACTTGGTTGTTTCCATGTTTTGGTAATTGTGAATAATACTGCTATGATGATAGACATACAGATATCTGTTTGAGTCCTTGATTTTAATTCTTTGAATAGCTTTTAGCTTTTTCATATGTTTCTGATATATTTATTTATATAGAAATTTTGCATTTTCATATAATCAGTTCTATCTGTCTTGTCCATTATAGCCTTAGTAATTTATGGCATGCTAACATTCATCTCTCCAAGACTATAATGTCAATCTGTTATGTTTTCTTCTAGGACTTTGATAGTTTTGTTTTCTTATTGTTTCTACCTGGAATTTGTTTTTGTATTTGTTGAAAGAGGTAGAAATTTAGTGTCTTGTCACAAATATATGTATGTGTCCCAAGACCACTGATTGTGAAAAAACTCTTTTTTTTGTGTGTGTTTTTTAATTTTGATAGCACTTAAATATTTCTAAACATACAGAATGATTAAGAGAAGAAGAAAATAATGAATATGATGAGAAAGACCAGCTTCATTAATGGGAACAAATAACTCAGTGAAAACCCATTAGAAATATTTTGCTTGCTTTGTAGAAGTAAATGCCAACTTCAAATAAAAAACAAGTTCATGAGTATAACCAAATGCTCTGATATGTGTACTTCAGAGCTATTTTCTTATGAAAGGCCTTAATCACAAAGTTATAACTGGGCTGGCAGTATTTTACACTCAGTTGTCTGGGTAGACATATTTTGCAGCCATTCTAAACATTGTCAATCAAGTTGAAGGAATAAAAAAATTATTTTGTCAATTTGGAAGGACCATTTCAGATAGAATTTTTTTTCTTCATTGAGAGAAATATTTGGTTGATATACTTTATCTAGGTAAAAAATTTCCAGTTGTGTTTTTAAAATGAAAATCTATGTTGTTAGTGTAAGGGTAGAATGGGAAATGGGAACTGGTAAAAATAATGTGATTGACTTTCAGAATATCAGGAAAACCAATTGGGAAATCTTCTGCTCAGGGACCACTGAGTACACAGTGGATAAAAAGCATAGCTAATAATAGAGTTAGTAGTAGAGTAGAAGAAAGGAGGGAGGGAGAGAAAGGAAGTGGTGGTACTAGAAAATGAAATTAGCCAGATTATATTGTTACATTGTGTGCATGTATGAGAATGCAACAAGAAATCCTACTATTATGTATAATTATAATGTACCAACAAAAATATATAAGTAAAATAATATTAATAATATAAAGGGCACTATCCTGGGTGCATTGAGGGACGCTGTGGCTCTAATCAAGAACCCATCATAAGAACTTTGGGCTTAATTACAACCAATCGTTACTTATTAAACCTAATTATCATGGTGTGACAAGTCCAAGGAATACATAAAGCCTATAATTTAACAAAGCATTATAAAATATATTCTCTATTTAGTCTCAAAAATTTGATGAGGTTGCATTTTTTTTACAAGAGCCTGGATACTGGATTTGGATAGTCATCCATTCTAGTCTAAACTCTTCCTTTATACTAACTATTTAATCTTGAGCATTTAATCTCCCTAAACCTCAGTTGTCTTATATGTGAAATGAAGACTTCTTATAGCCATGGTAAGGATCAAAGTGTAAAATCCACCTACAGTGCGTGGTCTGATGCTTGGCACAATATACATGCTCATATGCTATGTGAGTTCATAAAGTTCCTTGAATAAATAATTTAGCACAGACCAAATGATATGTTTAAATACCTGAGAAAGTCAATCTTGAAAGACATGAGGCTTATAGAATGTAACAATTTACTACGGTTATTTTGTTTTAGAATATATTTGAGGATATTATGTTAAAGTAATTTCTTAGATATTTTTGTATAAGCCAATGTGAAAAGCCACAGGGACTTTCTAGGTTGGGTCTCATAATAAGGTGTCCTGTAGAATGGATATAGAAGCAAGTACAGTTTAAAATGCTAAAATAAGAGGATGGAGGTGCAGCTCAGAGGCACAGTGCTTGCCTAGCACAGTTGAGGCCCTGGGTTCCATCACTAATGCTTCAAATAAATGAATAAACAAAATGCTTACGTGGAATAACATAGAATAAATTATTATTTTTTCCAATTATTTTATCAATAGGTGAAAATTTGGTTTCAAAACAGAAGGATGAAATGGCGGAATTCCAAAGAAAAGGAAGTGCTTTCCAATAGGTGCATCCAAGATGTAAGCCTTCAAGAGGATCCTCTTTCACAATCTGCTCTGGGTTTCTCTTCTCCATGTCCTTCAATATGGGAAGTCTCCCAACAGCACTCAAGTCCAAGATGGAGGGAGAATTCTCCAGAACCTTCAGAAAAACTAATCCAGGAGAGTTCAGGGGCACCACCCCCAGAAGCAAATTCACTGCATGGTGCCTTGTATTTGTCTTCTGAGGAAGAAGCTGGAGACAAGGGTGCACTTACTAGGGCCATATGAATGGAAGCATTCCTCCATGTTAATTTATAAGAACACTTAACCAACAACATTTGAAATCTAAAGCCAATTAGCTTGTGCCTCATCATTGCCTAAAACCTAACACCTTCAGAATGATGCATGAACTAATGCTTTAGAAAAATCCACTCCAGTGTTCTCTTATTTAGCCCTATACTCAGACTTAACTTGTAAGTGGAATAGAATCTTCCAGGACAGATGATGGAACTAAAAAGAATAAGAGCAAGCATTGGCTCAGTCCCTTCTCTGAGTATGTGTATATATGCATATGTCTGTATGTGTATATATATATATGTAAATATTCATTACAATACATTGGTAGAAACTCAATTATCTTCAAATACTGCATTGAGAAAATTCATTTCCTTTTTTTATGAAGAAAAATAAACCACTGACAGAATGTTATAAATTTTTTGGAAATAATGTAAAATTTGAACTTTATCCAAACTTTCATACCACAAGAATATGTTTTGATAATTTCTCAGGGGCTAGGGCTGTAGCTCAGTAGTAGACTGCTTACTTAGCATACACAAGGCCCTAGGTCAATCCCCAGAATAGCAAAAAAAGAAAACAAAATTCTCTTATTTTATGACTTCTTTTAGTATCCAACTATAAGTGAATTTTAGCAACTCAGCAATCCTAATCAAATGAGCCACAGTTACATACACTGAAGATATACATTAAAATGAACCCAAGAATTTCTGAATATAACTGTTAGTATGCTTAATTTTCAAGTCTCTGGACTTTATCAGGCCATCAGTGAGAGAGGTATCCATTTAACCAATAATTATTTTTTTATTCTTTCTCAAAGAGAAGAAAATCAAAAATAGAGAGAGAGGCTTAGAGCAGGGTTTGCAAAATGAAATGGATGCCTTTGAGGGCCTAGTAGATAAACAGAGGTCATGGTTTACCTAAAGGTAGTTGAGTTCAATAATTTTCCAACCCTGTGTTGGCCAAACAAAACATCTGTGTCAAGTAGTTTGTGACCTCTGGCCAAAAATAAAGAAAGCTGCAGTGTTATGGCTCTTAAAATGTTCCCAACTGGACTTAAAAACACAATACTGATGGAATCTATGATGATTTCTGTTTGCACTTCTAGTTACAGGCTCAATTTTCCACTTAGTTGGCATTCACTATGTATATTGGGTTATTTTATGTATTAACAAACACCGCACAGATGTTTTATGTTTTTGACAACCCCGAAATAGTGTTTTTATAAAATTACATTTCTGGTAACGATTTGCTTAGTTAATCCAGCAATTTTAATTTCATGTCCAACAAAAAATTATGTTTCACTTTGAAGGAAATGAAGCAGAAAAAGGAAATGATGTGGTTTGGAACCAAGCTGTCATTGATCTGTGGATAAGAAACATTCCTAGAAGTTCATTATGTGGCATTTTGTTAGTGAACAAGCTACGTAATGATGGTGGCTTCTAATGTACTTACCTTCTCAGCTATAGAAGCCTTTGAAGGGTTGACATTTAGAAAAGGCACTGTTTCAGAAGATAATGGTTTTCATCAACATCAGGAAATTATTTTTTATGAAAGGATTTTTTGTTGTTGTTGGTATATGTCTTTATTGCATGATCTTTTACTTTCACTTAAGAGTCATCTTGGAAGCTCATCTCAATGCCTCCTTGCTGGGTGGGAGTCGGGGGCAGGGATTTGCTAACAACGGTTTAAATTTTAAGAGTTGTTTTAAAGTACAGTTTCTTTATATGATGTTAACCTCATTTACATTTCTAGGGTCCTCTCTAGGTTTTAGACCCTGTGCTAAGCATGTGGGTGTATTAACTCATTTAATCCTCACAGAAATAACTCTATAATGTAGACAGTATTACTATCAGGGTTCCGGTTGCTGGACAAAGGAGCTTAGGCAGAATACGGTTCAAGTGCTTATATAAGGTCCTGAGGTGAATAAATGGTATTTGGACCCTTCCAGTCAAGTTTCAAGTCTCGAGGTTTTTTTTTTTACCAGACTCAAGGGGTCCATAGCACTATGGGATGTTTTCACATTGTGTGGGATGCTTTATAAAAGATACATTCTGCCCATTTTGGTGAGATTTATTAAAGGAATTCAGAAGCACATGATATTTTATAATTTCTTTCTTAATGATTTTCTCTTTAGTATTCTCTTTTCTACCAGATTTTGAAGTTTAGGGAAAGTAAGTGCCATGGAAATGTTTAAGTGTGCAACGGAAATGCTTTTTTTTTTTTTTTTTTTAATCTCTCACTGCCCAAAATCATGAAGTGCTTGTCTGTGGTCACAGTTTCTTGAGAATAACTTGAATTTTGAAAGAGAGAAAGTTGTCAAGGCCGTCTTATTACCTAGATCGTAGAAATGGGCTAATCAGTGCTTAAATGACTTTCATCAGAAAGCTCTGAGGCCCAGCTGAGGCTTCACTTTGTAAAACTGGCCTAATATTCGAATATACAAATCAGTCTTTTAATTATCTTTCATTCTTTATGCTTTGATTTTGCTTTCTGTTGCCAGAATTGCTGGAGGAAAGGACTGAGCACTGATATTCCATCCACAAGGCTCTCCCTTCTCTCTTAGCTCATGTTCCTGCTAACTGTCCCACCCTACCGACTCATGGCCTGGGGTGTCCATTTTCCTGTTATCTTGTTACAGTTCCTTTTCTGCAGGTGATCATGCATTAGCATATTTGCTGTCTGCTTTTCAGACAAATGCTGTTTTAATTGGCACCAGGGCTATAGAAGGAGGTCAAAAGAAATTATCAAGTGGCTCTTAAGCAGATGAGAAGAAATAAATGATGAGCATTATCTCTATTTTTTTAAAAGTATTTAGGGTTTTAAATATATGAACAGGTATAATCACTGGCTCTGGAAACATTGAAGGCCATGATCATTAAAGTTTAAAGGATATTTCTTAGTAGTCAGATGGTTTGCATGGGAACCCAATTATATAAATAACTCAGTGGTTCTCAGAGTTTAAAAATCATATACATGATCATGTCATACCTTCCACCAAGGTTTGTATATACACACATATCTGAAAATATATACTCCTTCAACATCCATACCTTCCAATCCACCCTTAAAAATCAATGCACATTTTTTTTAACTTTTCAAACATAAAACCATAAAGAAACCCACATGGGGTTCACTCCCTTTTTCTGATGCATTTTGGGTGTATCAACTCTTTTAATGCACTTCCTTTAAAAGCTAGACATACCTCAATGTGTTCTATGCCCCATCCATCCCTCAGTTGTTAATGATTCCATCAATCTCTGTTGGCCTTTAAAAACCATGAAGTTCATTCCGCTGGACTCAGAAGCTTGTTAAACACTGCATTTTCAGCTGTCTGAAATTGGTTTCTGGAATTCAACACTTATTGGGCACTTATGAGAAACATTGTCCTAGCCTTTGTGCCAACAAATATGAGAAAGAGCATAGTCCTTACCCTCTCAGAGTTTATAAGTTCATCTTTTCACCACGCAGCTTTTGAAATATTCCCTGCTGCTGTTGACAGGATCTGTTGAATTTGGGGCAAAAGTAAACAAACTTTTGATATCCTCCAAAAACCCTGCCTCTCTATTTGCAGGAAGAGAATTCTTATGTGCTCTACTGTTCAGAAAATACAAGCTGCTCAACAGTGCTGGTTTTCTATGCTATCCCTTTTCCAGGCCATAGTAGTCCAGGAGGAGTTAGAAAGAGTCCAGAAATGAATTCAGCAGTTCCCTTTTGTTTAGGTGGACACTTTCTCTCTCTCTCTTTTTTTCTTTCAGCCTTCTCAGCCTTCGTAGGAAGACAGAGGAAAAAGCAGATAGTTGAAGCAGGGAAATTCAGGATGATGAATGTTCTTGAATATATGAGGGAAATGTTGCAAGATTAATTTATATCTTTTTCAAACCATTTCTGAATTATGCAACTACCATAATGATGTATAGAACTTATGCCACAAATATGGTTCTTAGCTTCCAGTTATTGCCTGGGTTATATTACATTACATTGCATTATTAGTTTGGGGTTATAAAGAAATAGACTAAAAAACACACTTAACAAAGTAAAATTCATATGTAATTCCACTTTCTGGAGATAGCCAACTTAGCTCTTTTATGAAAAAATTTTAGTCATTTTAAAATGTATGTTAATGTAAATACTTGTGTCTCAACAGATTTGAATCGCAGTGTATACCCAATTTTTCCCAATTTTTTTACTCAACTTTGTATACAGAAACATTTCCCCATGTCATTAAAAGTTACTTGAAACTATTTACTGTGACTGCATAATATTCCATTGTAGATCCTTTACTTTTTGAGGTGGACCAGAGGCTGGGGCCACGAGATAACAGGGCATAGAAAGAATGGCCATAGGATCCTGTACTTAAGAATAATAATTTATGGTTTTGAACTATATAAAACCTCAGCAAACTAAACAGAATGAAACTTGTGAGGGAGCTTGGAGTTATGCTTTCACTAGTGTTGGATATAAAGGAATATTACACATGCCAATGGGAGGGCCTCTTCAGAAAGCCACCAAGAAGCTAATCAAAATGTACCTATCCACTCCAAGTTCAAGGGCATAAATACTCAGATTTTATAATACTCATAATCCACAGCAAACATAATCATTTAGTGTAACAGTCTATCTAATTTTAGTTTTCAGTCTGATTAATGCATTATTCAGCTTTTTTTTTTTTAGTTTATATTTTGGTTTACAAAGTGAGCAGCAGTCAAACAAACTCTTGGAGATCGGTCATCTATCACCACTTTGAAGACTGAAATGAGAATGCCAGTTTGTGCAACTAGTCTAGAATTCTTACAACTTCATGGATATTTTCTCAAAGTTACTTAAATGATAAAAATTTGAGGGAGCATCTTTTGGGATAAGAATATTCCAAAGTTAAAAGGGAACTGGAGAACCTTTAACACATTAGGTCCCAATTTTTTAATTCTGCAACTATTTCAACAAAATTGTCACAAGTGTATTAAGAAGGTTGAAAATCATAATATAGAACTTATAATGCTTTATATATGTGTGTATATACACACACACACACACACACATTCATTCACTGCAGCATCTGCTTTTCTCAAAAGAATAGACCTCTAAAATAGTAAATATTTCAAAGTTATCATAAGTTCATTGTCCAATTTAAGTTTTTTTAAGTGTTCCACATCTGGAATGATGGGACAAAATTTAATGTTATTTAAACCTAAAGCAGAACCATCAAGTCCTTGATCTTAACTGAAAGCTAAAAAATCAGGCATGTCAAATCTAAGACACAGTAATGTCATTATTTCATTATATATAATATATATGTGTGTGTGTGTGTATGATATACATATATATGATCCAATTGCTATGAATTCCATTTCAACCACACACTGAATAATTGTTGCAGTTTCTAGGGAGGCTATAAAAATTATTACAAACTGGATGGCATAAAACAACAGAAATTTATTCTCTCACATTGTAGAGAAATTCAAAATCAAGGTGTCAGCAGGTCCTTGCTCCCTCTGATGGATCTAGCAAATGTCTCATCCAGTTCCCTGGAGGCTCCATGGCTTGAGCTACATGACTAAAATCTCTACCTCTATCTTTATCTCTCTATATACCCTCCCATGTTTCTGTGGCCCAAATTTCCCTCTGCCTTTTTCTTATAAGGACACCTGTCATTGGATGAGAGCCAAATCCAGCCATGGTCATGTAGCAAGATCCTTAAACTTAATTGTATCTCAGTGTGTGTGTGTGCTCCTCAAATAAGGCCACATACATAGGTTTCAGGGGTTAGGAAGTACAATATCTTTTGGGTGAACATGGTTCAATCCCCTTGGTTGCATTCTACAGTTTCAGAGTAAAATTCCAGAATGAACAAAAGAAAAACACTTAGATTCCCTTGGCACCCCCTGTAATGGAATTTGATGTTTGTTGCTTTGATTTAAGCTTTTGTTCCAACTAAGAGATTCACTAGTTGCAAGAATATTTGGAGCGGGGAAATTTTTGTGAAAATGGACTCCATTTAACATTTTTTTCTATGTGGAAAATTTTAAGAAAATGCAACACTAATTTTTTTTAAAGGTCTCACATGGGTTCCAGATGTTGACCATTTAATCCAAGAAGGTGTTTTCTTATTATACAAATGTGGTACACATCAAAAAATTGGCATTGTTTAATTTGTGACTCACACATGAACCATTGTTTTTTTGTGATGTAGTTATTTTAAGTAATTCATAAACTAAACAATGCCAATACTTTGGACACATACTGTATTTGTGTAATGAGGAAACACCTTCTTGTATTAAATGGTCAACATCTGGTATCCATGTGGGAATTCCTTTGAAATTTTAAATAAAGACAAATTTGCATGGCATACAACTAGGAAGGCAACACAGAGACGCAACTAACTGGTAATCAAAAAGACTGGATGAACTTTGTACTATATTCTAGTTTAGAAAATGGGGATGTTGACAAATATCCAATAATGTTTTTACAGTACAACTTTGAGGACAGGGTAATGGAGGTTTGCAATAGGGGCAATATTGAGTCTGGAAATGAAAATTGAATCAAGTGTACTATCTGAGTAGGGGTAAAAGTCATTAAAAACTTTCTGGAGGGCTATTTGGTAACATAAAGTTGTTATGAGCATGTCCTTTGATGAGACATCTCCATTTGCTGGAATTTATCATAAATTTGAATATAAGGATTCTGTCTCTCAGTAAATACATCAGATTTTATTTTCTGAGCAGTTTTGGGTTCACAGCAAAAATGAATGGAAGGTACAGAGATTTATCATACAATCTTATCCTTCATATACAGTGTCCCCCACTATGAATATTTTTAACCAGAGTGAAATATTTAATACTAAAATTGACCAACCCATATTGCTATATCATTATCACCCAAAGTATATAATTTACATAGTGTTCCCTCTAGGTATTGTTCATTCTATGGGTTATGACAAATATATAATGACATACAGAATAGCTTTACTGCCCTAAAAATCCTCTCATAATATATTTTTATAACAAAAGAGAGTTATTAAGTCAATTTTAACAAATATAATGAAATCCTGGACACCCATTGAAAATAAAATTGTACAAGAATGATACATACAAAAATGAGCATGGTTTGTTGTTAAGGGAAAAGTAGATTACACAATAATATGTTAATGACACTACTATTGTGTGTGTGCATGTGTGTGTGTGCTTATGTTTGTGAAATTTTAGAGATTATACACACTCATATATTAACTATGGCTATCTTTGGGTAGTGGGATTAAGGATGAGTGCTTTCTTTTCTATGTTCTCTATTTTCCAAGTAATTTACTATATATATATATATTACTGCTAAATCAGGAAGTGTACACTTTGCCTCAGATGATTGCTTGACATCTTAAATTTAAATAAGCTCTTCTTTCACCTTAAATCTTCACCATTTTTTCCCAGCAAATAACAAAATAGGAGACCACTTGTTGAATTTAACAACATGGGAGTCAACTTGATTCTGTCCTCCTTTTCTCCCTTAATATAAAAGCAATTACTGAGTCTTGTCCATGCATTCCCCTAAACACTTCCTCTGTCTATTCCTCATCTGTTCAGTCTGCTCCAGTAGCCACTAATACAATCTCGATCACCATCCTCTCTTGCCTGTGCTTCTTGTTTCTTAGAAGTCTCTGCATTCTTTCTAGCAGCCTTCCAACTCTTTCTTTGGACTGTATTGAATCCTTCTAGTATGCAAATCTGATTATATTAGTTCAGGTTCTCCAGAGAAGCAGACAATTGGATCCATCCCTCCCTCTCTCTCAGGAGATTTATTATGGGATTCGCTCATATGATGACAAAGGCCCAGAAGTATCATGATATGCTATTTTCAGGCTGGAGAAGCAGGAAAGAAAGTTATGTGATTCAATCCAAGTTTGAAGGGTCAGCTGATGGTATAGCTCACAGTCTGAGTTGGTTTCTGGTGAAGGCTCTCTTCCTGACTCACAGGTAGGAGACTCCTCACTGTGTCCTCACATGGCCTTTCCTATGCAGATATGTGGAAAGAGAGAAAAATGATCTCTTGTGTCTCCTCTTCTTTTATAAGGATAGCAGTCCTATCAGGTTATGGCCTCACCCATAGGACCTCATACATTTTTCCTCTTTCCCCCATATAGTTAATTCACAACGTACAGTTAGCTTTACATTGTCAACATTTGCCCATTTTCATCCATATTCCATTTCAGGTCATTCTCTCTCAGCTGAACTGTCCTTCTAACTGATTTCCTTAAATTACAATAACCTCTGTAAAAGAAACAAAGTGAGGATGGGTAAACTTGGGGTGATAACGTTTCAGGTTCCTCCTGAAGGATGAGAAGAAACTAGATATGCAAAGAGTAGTGGTAATGATGTTCCACTAAAGGAAAAATCATGTTCAAATGCTTTGAAGCAAAAGAGCATTCTTTGTTTAAGGAACACTGGCAAGGCCTCTGGTACTAAGCATTGATCAGCAAAGGGGAGTAGTGAACAGTATTGTGCAGGCCCTGAATCAGACTCAGTTGTATAAGGTGGGGGGTTTGGATTTTATGCTCAGTGAAATAGGAAGCCCTTTATGAGTGACAGGATAATCTATTTTTAAATATCACCTACTACTGTAAGGAATGGAGTGGGAAGGGATGTGTAAAAGAAAATAAGGACTCTAAAATGGGAAATGATGGTGCTCTAGGAAAAGCTGATGGCATTGTAGATGGAAAAAAACTGACATGGTTGAGGTAGATTTTGAAGCTAGAATCGATAGGACTCTCTGATGGATTAAATGTAAGGGATGAAGGAAATGAAGAAACCAGGAAGATTCTGAGGTTTTCAGTTTGGGCAATAAGATGAACAACAAAAGCATTTTATAAAATGGTGAAAGTATGTGAACAGATTTTGATTGGAAATTGGATTTTGTACTCAAGATAGTGAGAAATTCAAGAAGATTTTGGTCAAAGTTAGTTATCAGTATCTGGGCTTGAGAGGAGACATCTATATGGGAACTATCAATTTGGGAGTCATCAAAATACAGGTGATGTTTTAAACTATTGGATGTGACCATTCTAGGAAAACTATAGATAAAAAAGAGACTAGGAATGTGGAGTGACTCAGTAATACCAACTGTTTGCAAAACATGAAAGAAATAAAGATAGAAAGGAAGGAAGAAAGAAAGAATCAGAGGAGTTAGTGAAATAAGAGGAAAAGCAGAAATGCTGTTGTGTCAAGATAGTCAAGAGATTATTTCATGACGAGAAGGA